GTCGCAGGGTTGATGGGGCCGCCGCTGCCCAGCGCCGAAGGCAGATTGAAGGAGGCTGCCGGGGTTCCAGTGTGAAATCCCTGCTTCTCGAAGGATTGCTGAAGAGGAGACGCCAACGACGGAGTAAGGGCTGGGAGCTGGGCGGCGCTCCCCTGCCCCCAGCTGGCAGCGTGCCCCTTTCCCAGCTCTACAGGTCATGGGCCCGGGAGTCAGTGCATGGTGCAGGGAAGGGATGGAGTCTCTGCCCATGGCTCTTTCTGGGCTTGGGATTGCTCTAAGCTGGGAAAGGCCGAGCATTTCCCTTCTCCCTAGCTGGCTGCTCCAAGGGGAAGAGACTTCACTGCCCAGGGAGGCTGTCTCAGAGCCGGGCTTCCACTCCCCAGCAAAGTGGTGCCTTCCTGGAGCACACACCAGACACTAACCTGAGTTTTGGAGTAGACAGAGCCCGAGATGTCCGGCACGCCTGTGTTACTGGATGTCACAGATACACCTGGGGAGAAGGAAAAGCAAGCGAGCGTCAGGCAGCCGCCACTGGTCCAGCGGGAGCATCTCTCCAGAGCTCCGGTGGCCTGGCAGCCAGGCACCATCCCAGGGAGCAGGGTCTTGGCAAGGCCAAGCTGCAAAGTGCCCACACGACTGCAAATTCTTTCACCCAGAGAATCATAGAATCATAGAATCGTTAGGGCTGGAAGGGACCTTCAAAGGTCATCTAGTCCAACCCCCCTGCAAGGAACAGGGATATCTCCAACTAGATCAGGTTGCTCAGGGCCTCAGCGGCCCAAGACCATGTTCTTGGAGAGCCCAGAAAATAGCAACTCAGAAGAGCTGGGGGGATGCAGCAGGCAGACAAGGAAACCAACTCCCAGCACGACACAGTAGCAAGAACGGCCTGAGAGCTCCTTGGCTGTAAACCAGTTAACTGCACACAAAGGTGACTCAGCTGTGGGCTGGGATGGTTGGTGCCAGGACTGGCAACATTGGCACACGACCTGCGTTTCATGCCAGCTGTTTCTGAAGGGTGGTGGTGCAGAGGAAAGCCTCAGCAACCATTTAAGGTCTGGAAAAAGTGTTGAAATGAAAGAGGTTTGCAAGACTCGGTACCAGGTGAGCTGGTACAGAACCAAAGTATCTTCAGAAAGAG